GTCGAGCAAAGAACGTCTTCAAGCCACAAGCGACACAAACACAGACGACGCAAGATGTTTCGCAATTTGCCGCTGATCCTCAACAATGGCCACGTTCGACTTAACTCAAAAAATAACTTAATACAAGCTCTTGCGCCTTCGCGATCACAAACGACGACCAGCCGCCACGGACTTTCCGTATGATACGGCAGACAAAAACATGAATTACAGTAATAACTAGCACGAGGACAATGATTCTCATGTAATATAATTTTTGAACGCGTAATGGCGCAAAATTGTTAGTTTTTGAGTAACGGCAATTTTCCAAGGAAATTTCCAGAAGATCAAGGTACTAGTTATGAAAATAATTTTAAAAAATTCTCACATATTTAAATATACCATGGAAATTTTCTTATTTCAATGTAAGTTGCTTTGAATGTGACGCGACATTTTCCTTTATATTTTATCCTAACGTTTTGACTTTCGTGTCAGAAACCGAAGAGCGCGCAACCACATTAAATCTATAATAACATTGGCAGATATTTTGCCCTATAATTGGACGAGTCACCTAAAGCAATTTTAAAATTTAATAAGTTCTCTTCCATTTTGTTGACAAGACTTAGTACGGCCCGCGTGGTTGGTACTTATGCTATTGCATAACAAATCCGGCCATGATGAAATATACTTCTGCGATTTGCTCAATGTACTTCTACTTTTATCTACCTGCATGCTCGCTTCCTAGCAACTGCTATCATAATGTTGATTTTTTTAGTTGGCTCATTGCTGTTCGATTGTGTCGACGTCGCAGAAGATGTTCGGTTTCGCTGAGGCACGCTTTTTTCGAACCCTTTTCTTCCGAGTTTTTACCCGTTGTCACGGTGCATCTGCCTGAAACAGCGTAGTCGTGTAGAGTATAATGTCGTTTTTCATTCCTTTAGACACAATCTCTTTTTTCACAAGAAGTCCTCTCGCTTGTGACAAAACGTATTTGCTTATTTCACGCAGGTTACAATAGTTCAACTGATCGCTAGACCAACTTCAGAGTTACACTCGTTAATACAGGTGAACTGCGAAAAAAGAAAGCGCGTAACATATTCAGAAAAAATGGGAAACAGTTCGTTTATGACCTCTATCTCATGGATACTTCTAGTAACAAATGAACTACGGGATATCAGACAAGTGTTTTGCTCTGTAGTTTTACGTATTGTTAATGCACTGCTTCACGTCTTGAAAAGTTTGGCGTCAAAATCCGAAATCGATCATATCAGTTCAGCTCCTTTGCAGAGAATAATTCTTCAATTATACTCTGCTAAAGTTCCCTTTTCATTTATTACAAACCCATCTTAACGAATCTCAATCATGAAAGCCTTCCGCTGCGTTTCGTTCACAAATTGATGATGTCACTTTCCAAGCCGCCTATCTCGTCCATAAAACATTTCTGTCAAATGATCGGCTCGTCACTCTTGAGCTATCGGGATAAATTGCTGCACCCGTCAAACATAATAATTATACATGTACAAAATTCTAAGGGAAATTGTGAGAAAATGAGCAACATATCTTCTTTGAACTTCGAAAGTGGCATGTTCGGATCCCAGAACTGCGGAAACAATCCGTCGCCTAATGGCTGATTATTCCCTTGAATTGTGAACTAAACACGCTCAGAGTCAGTGCAATCAGCCCAAAAACGGTAACAAGATTTTGCAAACAATATGGACCGAATGGTGTTTTGGTATTGCATAAACAACATGGTAAGATGCAATTATGCTGCTTTATGAGAATGCATCTTATGGCTCCGCATAGTCCTGACTACTCTGATTAGTGGCTGTCAGTGCGATTCTTGGCTAAAGTTGTAAATGGGCTGTTGCTATCTTTGTGTAATTGCATTTTTTGTGTTTTGGTTTGAAGTCATCTTATCACATGAGTTTGAAAATTTTGAATTTTCAGGGCATAGGCTGGAGAAAATATGATTGTGTCAGAAACATGGCCAGAACAATTGACATTCATCTTCATAACAAATGTTATGTACACTATATAGTCTACCTTGAAAATTGAGGAAATGTTACATAGATTTGAACATTGTTTACGACGAGATTTATATTGCTGAAATTACTATTCAGCAGAGAGACTTGCGTAGGCACAAAGCCTAAATATCGGTTGGTTGTACACCTGTAAAATAACACGGTGACTTCGATGCTCTGAAATCTGTTTCGCATCGCCATTTTTAGGGTTACTTGCTAAACGTGTTCAATGTGAGGAAATATTTTGTCGTGCATTTTTTGCAGGGCATTTAGACAGCTTTTGTGTGCGAAGCTTTTCAAACAATCATGGAATTTTTTAACAGTTCTAAATGCCTTGTCATTCACCGTTTTACACGGCTGAAGTTAGATTGGTGGGCTGATTATTAAACCAGACGCCTTCTTCAAAAGGCATAATTTATTCTTAATCTAGATTGAAATATTTCATCGTAACGATTAGTTTAGGAAATGCACGCTTATTTTTTTCATTGCTGCTGGCTTTCTTTTGTGATTTATCTCATTTATTTATTTCTTCTCTTTGCCGCGCATTGTCAGAGCTCTGTCTATTTAAGCTGTATCTTCTACACATTGCAATCAGTTAGACAGTTAGGCTCAAAATCTTGATATTCAATCGTATTGGAATG